ACAAGTGACTTCTGTGGACTCTTATTCTGAAATTCCACTTTAGTGAGCAAGTACAGTGAAGCTAAAGTAGTTTATTGTAGGTTATTTGTTGACGTCCCTGTTGAATCCGAGTGTCATCAAACTAAATTTATTTAAATTGCCGAAGCGTTTTCTCACGTCGCAACCAATTTCAAAATAAAGGTCGAGCCTCAAACGTATAAATCTACATACCAAAGTGTTTAATTTGAAGATTGCATCTAATTTATTAATGTTTTTAAACAAGACAACGACTCTCCATTGAAATGTATAAAGGCTGATACTTCAAAATAAAAGCTGAGGATGACATATTGCGTCTATATTATCAGCTAACAATTAAAATATACTTTTTAAACAGTATCAGGGCGAGGAAAGATGTTTGTCTTTAATAAAGTTTATAATAATATTTATAATAAAGCAGATTTTGAAAGGTTTGTTTGGTCTCTTGAACCAACATGTAGATCTGAGTGTTTAGTCGGTCACGTATGAAGAAAACTCTTTAAAATTAAATTACAAATTAGCCGCCGCGATGCACCTGCATATCACGAGAACAGAACTGGCATCAAAATAAGGATTAATCTGGACTTGATGCCGTTTTAGATATTTTTCCACACTGACAAGATTAAATATTTAGCGGTAATTTCTAGAGAAAAAAAAATGACAGATGTCAGAAATTGGCACCGAATATCCCAATCTGGCTTTTCTTTTTTTTAATAAAACTAATATGGGTCAGTTGTAAACACGAGGGGGAGCGGAGTTGAAAGTGCAGCAGTGTGAACGCTGCCTCGGCGGATGGAGGGACGGGGGGGGTTCTGGTATGGAGGCGCTGAGCTCTGGGGACTTGGAAAATATTCATCTCCCCTAAGCAGGGAGAGTTAAGGGGGGGTGCAGGCTTTGTCTTTGTCTTTTGTTGGAAGGTAGCATTCACACACACACACACACACACACACACACACACACACACACACACACACACAGAGGGACGTAAAGCTCTCCAGCAGCGAGCCTCTGACCAGCTGTCTTCGTTCTGAAAGATGGCCATCGTCACTCGTAAACACCAGGGACTCGGAGACGACGGCGAGCGGGAGGAAACCTCTATCTTTATCGTTCTCTCGGCCTCTCCGGCGTCTGAATCGCTTCCTCCTCCTCCCCCCGCCTCCATCCCCATCCCCGTGTCGTACGTTGAATTTTAGCAAGCAGAGGGAGCACCGTTTTTTTTTTTTTAATCACTTGATTCAAAATTTATGTTAACCCTCTGAATAATCAAATATTTGGACAAGAAACTGGTGGATGGATGCAACCTCGTTAGAGTGACTCAGTGATGGTGCTGCTGAGGGACTGGATTGGAGCTCTGAGGGTCTTTCCAATTTTAGAGAGTGTGTGATTAAAAAAAAAAGTATCTTTAAAGAGGCATCGAGACCGGCACACCAACGCTGATTTGTTTTTATACCAGCGGTCGTTTTCTCGGATCGTTTTTAAAATCAGCTCGTAAAAGTTAAAGATGAATTCCTCCACCTATCTCTCACAGACCCAACAGCGTAGTCTGTCGGAGGAACAACATCCTGCCGCAGAAACTCGGTTTCAATAGAGGTCCGGCGAGAACCAATCAGACGCCTCCGTGCTGCCACGCTCGCCGTCGCCGCCGCCGTCGTCGTCGTCAGCGCGTCTGCGTAGAAATCGAAGCGGACACGGCGGCTAACAAAGATAACCGAAGCGGCCGCCTCCTTTCTCTGTGTGTGTGAAAACTGGTGCGTATTGTTCGGGGCTGTTTCGGAGGAGGGGGGCCCTTCCAGTCGTCCTCCCCGCATCGGCCCTTTCATCGCCTCCTCATCCATATTTATCGCCGCCCTGCTCTCCTCACCTATCAGCGACCGGCTAGCTGTGACCGAAGTCTCGCTCCACCAATCACACGCCTCCCTTTGTGGGAATATTACCACCTCTCAGCGCTCTTCACCCCACCCTGTACAATGGCTTCTTTTTTTTTTTACTTTGACGCAGTGGCTTGAAAAAAAAAAAAAAAAGAAGAAGAAGAGGAGAGAGTGGAGGAGCAGGAGGAGGAGGAGGAGGAGGAGAGACGCAGCTACTGGTGGCAGATTCCTGCCGATGGCGGCTCGCGAAATCGATTGACAGCCTCGGAAATAGTTGCCGAGTGAGCGTCGTCAATGGCAGCCCGCGATTGATGAAAAAGGGGAGGTGGGGGGAATGATGGGAGAGGGTGAAGGAGGACGGGAGGAGGGTGCAGTCGTGATGGTCTGAAGTAGAGCATGATTAGTATGGACGAGGAGGAGAGGAAGATGGAGAGAATGAAACGGTGGCAGAGAGAGGGAGAGGGAAGGTTTGGGCTCGCCAGTGAACAAAACAGGCGTGTCGCAGAGGAGGACGCTGCGTTCGGCGACGCAGCCACGCCGAAGCATCGCCCTGCGTTCGACGCTCGACGTGCATTTTGAGAGAAAAACATCCCAACGCTTCTAATAACTGATAATGCCGGCCTCTCTCCATGCAATCCGCTCACGTCGTTTTTTTTTTTTTTAGCCGCTGAACCTCCCGCCGCCGGTGTCTGTCTTTGATTGTTTCGAAGCCAAACGCGGGGCTGCTTCCTCCTCAGCCGGACAGCCGATCAATGCGAGCCAAGGCTGCCCTCCTTTTGTACGGACGGCCCAAAAAAAGATGCACCGCTCAGCTCCGGGAGCAACAGCAACCGCTCGGATCGATATCATCAAAGGCCTCGTCTCGTACAGCAGCGTGTGTTGCCTTTATGTAAAGCGGCTGCATGCATTTGTGTCCCTCATTAAACTTCATCTTTCTTTTTTTGCAACCAAAGTCGGACGTAAAACACAAAAGACAGCCGCACAGCACACACTCACGGGGAAATCTTCCAATGCACTGTTAGTCTAGTCCCCTAATGTCACTTGGCAAGGGCATTTCAAGGCCCCCCCCTCCTCCCCAACACCGGCTTGCCAGTCCATCCATTTACTAAATGAATGTATTATATCTTTCAGGCAGCAGGAGAAGAGAAGGAAGACGATAATATAAAGTGATGAAAGGACTGAAAAACGTCTCAGGTCAGCAAAGACTGTTAAACCTGTAGGCGCCCAACTCACATGTTGGTTTCCTGACCACCTACATGAAAATCGAAAAGAGAAAGAAAAAGAAAACGAAACACATCCAATTTATTTTGTTGGTGCTTACATAAGGCTTCTTAATGGCTTATACAAGCAATTTTTTTTTTTTCCCTGAAAGCTGCATTTGTTTTGTATGGAGTCATTTCTATCAGGCTGAGAGGCTGCTTCACGTATACTGCTGATATATATATAAATATATATATACAGTAGGCTAAACAAATCTGTCTGGATGCTGCTTTTTCACCTTGAGACGATCTATAAAACAAATGCATCAGCAAAGATTCGTTATTATTAAAAACACAGCAACATGCAAAAACTTGTGTGGGCTCGTCAGGGATCAGATTTGAAGTCCTTTTGCACACATATACGCATGTTTTAAAAATACTGACAGCTAAAAATGAAATGTAAATAGAAGCGTTAACCTTATAACCCGTGTTGATAACAAACGCAACTCGTTCTTGGCAAGTAAAGGGAATTATCGACATGTTTACGGTGATGCGTCTCGTTGCCAGCTGTAGCCTTTTATATTCTAATGTTCTGAAACATTCTAGATAACGTCTCCACGGCCTGGATGATGTTCAGGATTGTACTATTTTGTATTCTCTCCCGGATTAACATACATTCTCAGCTGAACCCTGACGGAGTGCACATGCATAAATTATGTAATTACTGGAAGATCCGGTCCATCGCGAGCGGGGTCTGGCTTTGTAAATAATCCAAGTTTAAACACCCGAATCAAATATTAACACGCGTCTCTGATCGTATACGAGAGGGGAAATGTGGATTCCTTTAATACTGGGGGGCGGGGGGGAGCCCTGCTGCGGCGGGTGAGGAGGGGGAGGCGCAGCGATAAGAATGGTGGTGCTGGATTAGACGGGCCGGTTGGGGGTTGGGGGCCGCAGCCACTGCAGCTACTCATTGATCTTTCCGTCTTTAAGACCTTCAGCTTTTTTATGGGCCATGGCTGTGATTTATGACCTCTGGAAGCCGCGGCGGTCCCGCGTTGTCCCCTATCTACCGTCTGACAGCTGACCGGCTCCTTCTCTTGCCATTTTCTTCACACTCTCCATCCGGATGAACCCAAACCATCTGGAAACTCGGTGGGAAAAAAAATTAAATCTTCTCTGGTCGTCTTTGTATTTAAATGCCTACTACTCTCGCTTCTCGTTCTGATTGACACGAATGGAAAACACTCATTAAAGCTTACATCTGGATGGATTTCTACTGCTGCAGCTGTTGGGTAAAAAAAAAATGGCTGAAATCTTATTTTTTTGGTCCTATTAAGAAGCATTTCTTTCTCCTTTTTGAGCATTAAATTTCCATCTACCTGTTCAGTCAGGTGACTTTCACTCAACAGCAGCTGTAGCCACATTTCAAAACACAGCGAATCAACATTTCAACAATACAATCAGCAGTCAATAAACCCAAATGCTGTGATGGTATGGCCAGCATGAGGTCAAAGGTCATCCGGACTCATCTGCGCAGCGATGTCGGGTATCATGGCAAAAAGAAAACACTGGATTTGTATAAAAAGCATGACAATGGATGTTATGGAACTGATAACATACAATATAAACAATACCAGCATGCATTATCCTGAATCATGAGTAGAAACATGAGGGTGTTAAATGTTAAATCCTGTTTAAATGTCAGGCCCTGCAGCAGTCAGACCACCTCTTCTTTTGATAAAAAGGTCCTAAAATTTGGGTTTTCTGCAGAATTATTATTTTTATTTGGGGCCTGCAAGAACACAACAAGCACGTGTTGTCGCTGCTGAGTCAGTCCTGCATTGAAGCATGTTACAGTAAAGATTATATATATAAAAAAAAACAGGTAGAAGATCAAAATCAAAGTCTGTCTTACCATGAGTCTCAGTTTCTTGGTGAGGGAATACAATGCCTTCAGTTTCAAATAGGGGCTGCAGGAAGGCCACTACAGAGAGAGGAAGCACAGGGGGTGGGGAGTGTGTGGCGTAAGCTAATCATTCAGAGAAACAACCAAATATTATGATCTCTTAGCAGCACTTTGACTTTTAGCTTTCAAACTGCAGCCTGGGTGCAGCGTAGAAATAGCGTATAAATACAAAAACAGTGCAAAGATACGGCCTCTGTTTGGGTAAAAACCAGCCACTGCATGGTTCTCTTCTGCATCAAGGGCCAGGAACATAGTCACTGTATCTTATTAGCAGTAAAAAAAAATAAAGGATTTATTTAAGCTTAACTCAACACTGTTATCCAGATAATTCAATCATGTAAGAGATCATCAAGACCAAATTCTCAAATCATAGAATTGGAACAAAAATACACTTTGAAAAACAGAATAGAATTAACTGTCAGTGCAAGAATAGTTATCACAAAAGACCCGGAACCAAACTCTTTTGTGTTGCCTATCTTAGGGGGGCAGTTGTGTAGTAGATATGTTTGTGTGTGTGTGTGTGTGTTTGTGTGGAAGCGAGTGGTTCGTTTTCAACCAAACGTTGGTCCCCGTGATGCTGCCGGCTGACAGAGCGAGCGTTGACCTGGCAGCAGTGCGGCGGCCCTCTCCGCCTGAGTAAAAGTCTGGTCGGCTGTGTTCATCATCATCATCATCATCATCATTCCAACCTTTTCATTTGTCTAAATGGACAAGCAGCCTGACGGTTACGCAGGCAGGAGGAAGGTCCCCTGAGAGGGAGCCTTGGGTTTTTTTTTTTTTACATACAGCGAGGAGGAGCCTTTAGTGCTCTGAGTGCTGCATCGATCCGCAGTTAAACACTGCTGGCTAACCTGCGGCTCACCCCTCCTCAGCCGGACGCTCCGTCTAATTATTACTCCTGAGGATGGACGCCGTGTTTCCTGAAGGAACTTGTTAAAAATGACTGTCCGCTGCTTTACTGTCCTTGGTGGAGCAGGTCATCCAAAAAACAAATCTACAAAAAGGCATCGATTCTCAGAAGTCTGACACACTAAAGAGTGATTTATGTTACACTGTGCCTCCTGTCGTGGTGCTTTAAAGGCAACAGGCCACTGGAGCTGCTAGACTTTATATTCATGGCACGTCACACAAACCCTCTTTGTTGAGCTAAAACAGCAAATGCAGAGTTTTGTGACCATATTAGTGTCATTCTGGTCAACTCTGACATGATCTCTTAATAAACCTGCACAAAAACCCACATCCTCTCCACATTTTATATATTAATCACTTTATCTCAATGAGTCATAACAATTTAGACATTTATTAGTTTTTTACTTTAACTTTTTTACACTCCAGAGTGTAAATTTTGCCACCAAACACAATTTCAAAACTCTTTGAGCCACTGTTTGGCACAAATATAGAACATTTTGTCAGAATAAACAAATCCAGCATTGCATAACAGCTATATGCAGCTTGCATCTCACTCTAATCTTTGCATTAAAATTGCATGTCAGGAGCATCGACAGTCAGATTTAACAGGCTGGGTCCTCTACAGTAATGAGGGCATATCAAAACATCTCCTAAGTCTTCAGCATGTCCTTGCTGAGTCGGCCTCCGTGTTGTAGGAATAGCACATTTAAAGGTGTATTGTATGTCCAAAATGTCCATGATGGGGTGCATGGCCAGGATAGGCTACTGATGGTTGTAATGCCGGGTGATGGGAATGCTTGGCGCATGACAGCATGTAAACAAAAACCAAATATGGTGATTACCATGGTGACATATCCATATTTCATCCAACCAGAGAATAATGAAGAAACATCTACTAGTGAGAGGGAAGGGGGGAAAAAAAGATCATCTCCCTCCTAGCTGCAGGATATTAAAATCAGGACAGCAAATGCAATGATAAAAATATACTGGCACTGACATGCTGCAATAACACAGAGACACTGTCGCATTCTGAGCTGCTCTGGATTCCCCCTTGTTCTCTCCGGCTCGCCACAGGCCTGCTGTTAATACGAGTCCGCTTGTTTATCCGCTTGTGTAATTGTACACAAAGCGGCGATGGTGGCTGATGTGTGAGATTATCACAAGGTCATCCGTCGACGGGATGAGACCCCTGCGATCACGCACCAGCCTGATCTGGCTTTCACTTGTTTACATCCTTATTTTGGCTCCAGCATGGCCGCTGTGGCTGCGCGTAAATCTTAGCGCGCAACAAAAAAATAAAAAAAGAATAATAAAAAAAAAAAAAAAAATCACCCAATCTATCTCGATCTAAAGAGGCTAAATCATTCAGGATGTGCAAGAGGGGAAACCGGCGGCTTCCCTCCAAATCCCCCCTCAGTCCCTCTCATTGTTTCCTTTCCATCAAAAGCGGCGACCCGTGATTATTTTAATGCTGATGGAAAACGACTCGTGACGAAGCGGTTAAAAAAATAATCATCGCTCTCTCTAAATTTAAATCTTCACTGTGAAGCGAATTCTGTGGCCGGAGCTACCACGCCACTTTGTGCATCAAGAATCAACCTGCTCTCCTTTCTGCCTGCCTGCCTGCCTGCCTGCCTCAGGACGAAGCAACATTCAACCGAAACCCCGAACAGCTTCCCGCATCCCCATCGCTCCGCTTACCTCCCGTGTTTGTGCGTTTGGTGCTGCTGGCCTCCGTCGGGGTCTCCAGGGGTCTTTTACGCGAGTCCGGAGGATCGGACTCCATGTGTGGTTGTTGATTGTGATGGTGAGGATTTGAGAAAATGCCGTTTTGCTGTACTGCTCCGCCGGCCATCATTTTCGAGCTTGCTCTTGGATGCTTAGGCTGCGTTTGCGTTTAAATCCCCCTTTTTCCGTGTATTTTTACGCAGCGTAGCCGTAGCAGACGAGTCCTCGGAGAAGGCAAAAGCGTTAGGAATCGGAAAATACGCCTGTTTCTTACGGACGGAGTGGGTTTAGCTGCGCGTTTTTTCTCCGTGGTGCGCCGTGCGTACAGAGAGATGCTGCGCAGGGGACAGAAAGAAAGAAAACGCTGGAGCGGCAGATGATCGGCTCAGAGAGGGAGGAAAATCCGAAACCTCTGCAGATGGAGCGTCTTCTAGGCTACTACAAAAAAAAAACGTAGAAACGGATCGTCAATCTTCCATCAACCTTCAGATATGCATGCTAGGATCTGTGTATCATTCCGCTGCAACCATGTCAGGCAGCACAGGATGGTGGCGCTCCTCTGCAAAACCCAGCAAGCCAGCGGAACGGAGCAATAAATAAAAGAAAACAAACAAACAAAAAAAAACAAAAAACAAAAAAACACCACCGAAAGACAAAAGAGACGAAATCAGCCGAGGAAAGAAGAAAAAGAAGGGAAATGTCGCTGAAGCAATAATATTAATAATAACACATAAAAAAAAAATCCGATTGTGGAGGCTATTGGAAATTTCTTTCTTCTTATCCTGTCCTGGCTCCAGTCGTGAAGACACCCAGGGGTTGGCGCGTGGGTGAGGAGGGTCCGGAGACGCGGAGCTGGAGGAAGACGCGGAGAAAGAGACGTTTTGTCCTGCTCGTTCTCTCGGTGAAGATGCTGCAGTCTTGCGTTCAGAGCATCCCTTCTCTGACTGGCTGCTGGAGGAAGCGCAGGGGAGCGGCCGACGTCACACAGCCTGCTGGTGCCTTTACGGTCCCGCTGACACTCGGATTTCACAGCATTTAATGTAAAGAAAATAAATAAAATGACCGAGATTGTCTGTGTGGTTTCATTGGCTGCTTTGGTGCCAAGAAAACAAAGCAGACGTTGTTGGCGTTTTCTATGTTGAACTGCTTTTTGTTACTGAAGGCTTCTGCAAAACGCAGTAAATAAAAATCATCTACACTCCACATGGCATGAGAGGCTCCACGTTTCCTTGCAAAACACACGCAAAGGCACCAACCAGCTGATGGTATAAACGTAGATAAACGGTGCGTAACTGGTGCGTAAAGTCAACCCATGAGTCCACATGCGCCCCCCAGCTCTTGGATAGTCTTATTTTCGACAGAACCTGAAGGCATCACGAGAGAAAGCGAAAAGCTGAGAGGGAGAGAGAGACGCCTCCACCGAGACGCGATTGGCCGAGGCTTCATTTCTCCAGCAAAAACGAAAAGGACACAGATATATTCGCCCGGCGGAGTCACATGACGCAGAGGAAAGGATGCGGCGGCGGGTTCTTTACTCCGTTACAACAGCGGCAAATGCAATTAGTCTGTGAGGGAGCCTGAAGGTCCCGCTGCGGCTGTTTGAAGGTCTGTAGCTTCACCTGTCAGAAGGCCAAGGCAGCCTCACATCCACACATCCACACACTCACACGTGGAAATGTGCACCCACAGCTCCCTGGATGAAATTTAAATATCAGAAAAACCAGCAAGTGGAATTAAACTGGTGAGAGTTTGGAGGATGTTTTTTCTTTTTTTTTTTCTTACACAAGACAAGGCATGAACCAGGAGGATATTCTAAAACCCTATTCCTGTTCATATTTGTGATTATTTGCCTCACAATCTGAAGATTTGACGGATTCTTTTTGTGCCCCCCCAGAGCACCTGAGCAGCTCCTGCTGACCCTCAGGCCAGACTGCCGGCCTTGCTCAGCCTCGACTTGCAGCAAAAAACACCAACATGTTTGGCAGCATTGCACGACAGTAACGCGGTGATAACGACACAATAACAGCCCCGCGACATAGGAATCACCTGCCTCACCTGTCCCCTCTGCTGCTGCATGACCCACCTGTGTGTGCTGCGCCTGACATCTCTGCGTCGCTCTGCCTGGGTCTGAAGAGGGATCCTCCAGCACTGCGAGCTGTCTGAGAGAGCTATACCCGCCTCAGTGTTTCGCTCTCTCTCTCTCTCACGCACACACACACACACATACACACACCACACACTCACACATTTGGCATATACTCACACACACCCAGAAAGACACGCAAAATACCTTCTACTCCCTCTCTGCTTCTCTGTCCGGTGCTCTACAGATGCCGTACGCCCTCAATGCCTCCTGTAGATTGTAGTCAAGGTGACATTGTCCTGTCTGTGCACACACACACACACACACATGAGCACACGCACACTGACACACACACACACGCAGTCACACACAGAGCAGCTATCTCACACTATTTCACATCGTCATGAGAAACACACCGGTGAGCCAGTCTCCTGCTCTGGAAATACGTGGCAAATCCAAGGCAGATGGATCCCAAGCTGCAGTCTGAAACAGATTCTGCACCACAAATAGCAGGCACTGCTCAGAGGTACAGAAAGGCCCTGGATGCCGGCACCTAATTGTGTAAGCTCCTCTGTACGGTCTGTAAGTGTAGCACACTTTCAGCTGGACACATGCATTTATACATTTGGAGCGGAGACAAAATCTGTTGGACGCGTCCCACGCGGCCAGATTGCCCGTTGCTGCTGCTGCTGCTGCTGCTGCAGCATATGGAAAAAGTGAAGTAACCCCATAAGCAGTAAAGCACACAGGCTAGCAGCATTCTTGAGTTTTTATTAGGTTGAGGCTATGAGCAGATGTTAGCGAGATGGTTTTCAGAGATTTGCTTCGGCAAACTCCTGTTCGACTCTGGCTGGACACTGACCCCAAACACTTAAGAAGCAGCTTTCACAGTTGCTACAAACTCTCCCAAACACCTCAACGCAATCTGGAGGAAGCACGATTACTGTAATAAGTCAGTTTTTCCCACTGTGTCATAATCCGATCGGTCCGGTTCAGCCAACAGCAAATGTTATTCAGAGTTCCACATTCGTTTTCTTCTCATGGAAAACAGAAAGGAGAAATTTTCCAGTGATGGATTTTTCATTTTGGAACCAAAGCCTGGAATTCTGCGTCTAAAATGTTTGGTAGTGACTCAAAAATAAAAAGGGAAGAAGAGCCGAGACGCGAGCCAGCTGGAGTGTCAAGTCTCCAAACCCCTGAGATAGTAAAAAAAAGTTCTCAGAAGTGACCTGCAGTACAACATGAGCACTGATAAAACATTTAAATATGACCGACTGCACACGGGGGACGAATAAAGTTCTGCTCGACTTGACTCGAATATTTTTGTTCCATGACAACATCATCAGTCTTGTAATTACTAAAAAAGCTGCCGGTGGCATTAATTGACGAATCAAACGCAGAGTGCATGCTTTTTTAGTTCATTTTTCTCCGAGAACAAATCATCCTGAGCAGGTGTGACCTGCTAACACCTGTTTTCCCTGCACGGTTTGCTGATGCACGTACAGTATTCTGGCTGCTGCTGGAACTCTGGGTCAAGGCTGACTGCAGCTAAATGGATATTCAGGATGTAAAAATCAGGGGCGAAGCTGGAAGATCGCAGACATTTGGTGCCACCTGCTGGTAGACGGGTGGAAGAGCGGTGCTGTGATTGTGTCCCAGTTTGGATTTCAACTGACTTTTTACTAATTAATGTAATATTTGGTCCTTATCATTCATAAATGTGTGTTTAAGACACAATTTCCTTATTATTGGTTCAACTTAACACACAGTTATTGCACATTTCTATGAAGAACTGCTGCACAATGAGACGGATTTTATGTTTTAATAATATATTAAAAAACCTGCTATACTTTATGTGTTGAAATACATTTAATGTAACTTGCACAGAGGGTTTATTTTAATATATTTGCATGTGTTTTTTAAATAAGGGTTTAGGTTCATGTTGCAAAAACAGCAAAAACGCTGCAAGACCACTATGTTGCACCAAATATCCTCGACTAAATATTAAAAAAAACCAACATTGCTGCATAATTTGTAAGGAATAAATGTAATATTCTGATTTCTTTCCTCTTAAACATCCTGATCCTGCAGCAGCACACGATATGGTGGCTCCATTCACTTCTAAGCTGTTGTCCGATCTTCCTCACTGAGAAGTTCCTCCTCCTCGTCCAGCGTTTCGCTAACTAACGGTGTAAGTGAATGACTTCTCCCTAAAGCCCAGTCTGCCCCACTCCCACTTCCACTTTTGCATAATTGCCCCCCCCCCCACCAACCGCTGCTCATTCAATTTTATCGCGCAAAATCAATAGCGGAGTCGATGGCAGCGCAGGAGGCCGAGGCACTCTGCGAGATTGAAAGGAGACAGATGTGATGTGTTTCCTCTTTATTTTTCTACTTGCTGACCTCACATCATACCGACGACTTACGACCCAAACCGACAACCGGACTGCAGCGGGACAAAACCGGATTACAGTCAGAATGTTATTTATAAAGTCTTAATTACTGTTCTGAATCAGCGCAAGTGTATTTTTAGAAAGTGCTGTGGCAGAGCGGCGTGCCAGGAGGAGAAAGCTTTCTTGATTTTACCCCAGATATTTCCCGAGGAAGGAGGGAAGCTTCTGATTATAATTCTCATTATTTAGTGCCTCACAAGTTGAAATTACTCAGAGTTAGAAGACATCCTGACCTATATTTTAAGGGCTGTTTCGCTCATATTGTTATAAAATGTGATTATTTAATGAAAAGGTCAATTCATGAATAAAAATCTTGCAATAATGTTCGGTTTCTGGGTTCAGGTTTGTGGAATTCAACTCTGTGGTGCCCAAAATGTACATTTAACCAAATAACCCGCAACGATTCTCTGCACAAACAGGCTCTCCGTAACTCACACAAAACTCTGGATGCTGGAAGGACGAAATTTGGAGGTGCGTGCATTATGGTAATTTTGGACAGATGGTGGGGGGTCGGCTGGGTGAACACCATCATTCCACCACGTCTGGTGGAGGTTTATGAGCTTTCACATAAATCCACGCCGCTCTGTGCACACTGTGTGGTAGAACTCGGCTGTGTGTTTGCACATATCTGACAGAGGAGTTCTTTACTTTTTCTACCGTGGAGATTCCACAGATCCACGCGCTGCCCCTTGACCTCTTAAAACTGTTTGAGCAGTGCTTTTATCATCCCTGGATTGAATCTCCCTGCTGCTGCTGCTTCTCGTCGTTAGCCGCTTTGGAGACCTGCCAGCTTGTTGTCTAAAACATAATTGTGGTGTTTAAGTTTATGTGGAAGTGGAAAAGAAAGAGAGGATCGGTAGGAGGAGGGAGAAACAGGAATAAATTATGGCCTCCGTCTAATTTATTTGAGCTCTCAACCTCCAAAAATATGAATTTCTTTCTCCTTGTCACCGCCGGTATGAATAAACATGCGCGGGGCAGCGAACCGTGACAGCCGAAGGATTTGGGTTGTTTCACCTGATTAATTACGGAGGGAGGCCAAGACACAGGCAGGTAGAACAGCCGCTATTTCACAGCACGACTGGAAAGAATAGGGACGCATTTCCATATTAAAAACATGACTTTTCCACGTCCCCTCCTGAGCGCGGCTGATTAAAACGGGGAACTCGTGCGCTTGGCCGGCCGCCACCTCGGCCATTGTTCTGCTGCGGCGGACTGATGTGCACACATCTGGTCAAGAGTGTGTCTGATATTATCCCCTTTGTTCGGTGGAGCTGAGATGAGGTCTGCTGTACTCGCCGCTGATATCAGAGCCGCTCTCGTGATCTAATTTAGATAGAAGCTTCGCGGTTGCATCACGGCGTCT